TGACCAAGGAGACCCAGTTCTGGGGCTATACCATCCCCCAGGTGTGGCTCAGGGGCTCCTCGGGTGGGTGGCGGGGCTGCGTGAGACCTCCAGTGATGGCGTTTACCTCCTGGTCCAGTCTCCAAGTCCTCTCACCACTGTGAGGAGGTTTGTTCTCTACTCCCATTGCAAATCCATCCCCATGGCAAATCTGGGCAGAAACAAGGGGAGGTTCCTGTGCCTATGAGGCCTGTCTCATGGCGCTGTCTCCCCCAGGGCACCGAGGTGTTTGCACTGCTGGGCTCGGCGCTGAAGGACCCCGAGCACTTTGAGAGACCTGAAGCCTTCGACCCCGGGCACTTCCTGGATGAGATGGGGCAATTCAAGAAGAACGAGGCTTTCCTGCCCTTCTCCATTGGTACGAGTCCTGCACTTGGCACAGAGCCAGAGACAGCCATGACTTCCCCTCCTTCCACCAGCACTGCAGCAGCTACCCATGTACTTAATTCTTCCACGGCCCCAATCCCTGTGATCTGGTTGCTTTTACCTTGTGCAAGCATGTTGCACCTTCCCCTCTTCTGGGCTTCCAACCAACCGTCCATACTGCTCCCATCAGTCCTGGGCTGCCCCTGCCTGAGCCCTGCCACCCTGCCCAAGTGCAGGAGAGCTGTCCCCGATGATCTGTAAGGTCCCTTCTAGCCCCTAACATCTATGAAACTAGACCAGTGTTGCTAGGTAGGTTGAGGCAGGCTTGAGATTCCCCCTTCTCATGGGCCCTCGATCCGGCACGAGGCCCTGAGCTCTCCATCCTCTGCCCACAGGGAAGCGGTTCTGTTTCGGTGATACGCTGGCTCGCATGGAGCTCTTCCTCTTCGTCACCAGCATCCTGCAACACTTCCGCTTCGAGTCTCCCATCGACCGCCAGGACCTCGACATCTCCCCGAAGCTGGTGGGCTTTGCCACCCTGCCCCGCGACTACAAGATCTGCCTCATCCCACGCTAGGGGGGGCCTCAAAGCAGTTTGGTCTTTGGGGAGGGGGTAGAGGGGAAGAGCAGGTGCAAATAGAGGAGCCTTCATCAGGCCGAGTGTGGGACCCTGGGACATTCTGTCATGAAATCTCATCCCCTAAATTCTCCCTCTCGTCCCACTTGGCACGGATCAGGCACCAACACAGCTCCATGGCTTCAGCTTCTGTCCCTGTGCCTTGCTATTGCTGTTCACTTTTCTGCAAGAAATGTGGTAGGAGGGAAAGGTGTAACGGGACAATCTTCAGGGCTCAGCACGTGCTGAATTTGGGAGCTGGTGGAAGGGGAAACCCCTTTGGTTTTGTGCCTTGCCGTGACCTGTCATTGAATGTGGTCCGTCATTGAATCCGTGGCCTTGGTTTATGCATGGGGCTGCCCCAGGTGGGTATCTCTCCAATAAAAGCTGCCTGCCCCTTTGCTTCCCACATCTGCTGCCTTCCTTGTTTATGTTTGATCCGAAGAAACAGTCCTTGGGGAAGGAGAGGTGCATCTCAAGCAGGCAAGGTTGACGTGATGGCCAATAGAGGATGGGCTGAGCTCAGCTCTCCATGGAGACTGGACCACCTGGGGGCAGCCGCTCTCTCCCTCTGCCACAGAGACCATAGTCTGAGTCAGGGTCTAAGGAGTAGCCCATGGCAGGCCCTAGTCTCCGGCAGGGTCTGGGCAGGAGCAAGACGTGCCCCTGTCTCAGTCAGGCCCTGATGGGGCAGCTGCAGCACATGCAGGTGGTCTTGGAGCTCACCAGCAGGGATTTGAGATGTTCAGGGCACCTGAAACAGATCTACCTCTACCCCCATATTGTGTTCCCACCAGCTGTCCAGGGCAGGCTGCTGATAGGTGCTAGTTGGGCAAGCTTCTCAAGGGGCACTGGAGACCCAGGTCATGTGCTTGAGAAACCACGTGCTGACAGGAGAAGCTGGGGTTCAACTGTGAGCTGAATGTATGCCAGAGAATTTATGCCATCAGTTTCTGTGGATTCTCCTGGGTCAGGTACCCCCAGTCGCAGACCTGGCCCCAGATGGGCATGGTGCTATATGGACACAGAGCAGAATGGTTGGTTTGGATAGGACTGATCCCACCTCAGGCAGGGGGTTGGACTAGATGTGACCCCCCCTGTCAGTCCCACTTCTCTAGGACTGTGATGCCAGGCCCAGCCCCAAAGAGCCCGTGCTCAGAGAGTTTGTGCCGAGACTGCGTGGTTGAGTGATGAGTGTGTGCGGGGGGGGCCAGGCCTCCTGGGTCTATTCCCCCGGGGGGAAGCGGGGAGGAGGCAGGTCTGCTCCAGTAACATCAAACACCAACAGACCTGGCCTTTGCACTGTGCTGTTGCAAGACCCTGGAGCTTTGCCCTGAGCTGCTCTGCAAAGCTGTCCCCTTGGCACACCACGTGAAGACGTGAAAGGGCTCCCAAGCCCCGTGAGGCCTGTCTCATGGCGCTGTCTCCCCCAGGGCACCGAGGTGTTTGCACTGCTGGGCTCGGTGCTGAAGGACCCCGAGCACTTTGAGAGACCCGAAGCCTTCGACCCCGGGCACTTCCTGGATGACAAGGGGCAATTCAAGAAGAACGAGGCCTTTATGCCCTTCTCCATTGGTACGAGCCCCATGGCCATGCTCAGTACAGATCCAGTGAGGCGATGGTCTGTCTCTCTCTCTCCCTGCCTTCCTCCTCCTCTCTCAGAAGCTCTGGGGGAAAGCAGCAGCTTCTCACCTGCTTAAAGTTGCCACGGCCCCCGTCACCATGTTGATCATGTGCAAACACATTGGCCCTTCTCTGCCTGGCTTCTGTCCAAGTGTCCACAATGTCCCAAGAGCCTGCAGCTTCCCCTGGCTCTCAACCAGGCCAGCCCTTGCCAGCTGGGTTTGTGCAGGCTTGAGAGCCCCCTCCCTGGGTGCCAGGCCCTGAGCTCTCCATCCTCTGCCCGCAGGGAAGCGGTTCTGTTTCGGTGAGATGCTGGCTCACATGGAGCTCTTCCTCTTCGTCACCAGCATCCTGCAGCACTTCCGCTTCGAGTCTCCCATCGACCGCCAGGCCCTCGACATCTCCCCGAGGTTGATGGGCTTTGTCAGCCTGCCCTGCAGCTACCAGGTCTGCCTTATCCCACCTTTCCCTGCTCCTTGCCATCATCGTTCACCTTTCAGTAGGAATTGTGGCAAGTGGGTAGGGTGGAATGGGATGAGCTTTGGGGCTCAGCACTTGCTGATTTTTGGGAGCTTGTGAAAGGGCTGTTGAAATCCCACCCTTTGGTTTTTAGTCTTTCTGTGACCTCTGGCATCTGTCATTGAAATCTGTGACCCTGGCTGATCCCTGGGGATGCCCCAGATGGGTTTCTTGGCAATAAAAGCCTCCTGCCCCTTTGCTTCCCCCATGTCTCCTGCCATCTTTGCACATCTTCGATCTGAAGAAACAGGCATTGGGGAAGGGCAGGGACAGCAGGCAGGGATGACATGATGTCCATTAGAGGAGGGGCTGAGCTCAGCTTTCCATTGAGACCAGAGCCCTTGAGGGGAGGAACTCTGTCCCTCTGGGTCACGACAGAGGTCATAATCTGGGGCTGGGCCTGAGTAGTGGAACAAGATGGACCCTAATCTCTGGCAGGGTCTGGGCAGGAGTGAGATTGGCCCCCGTCTGAGTCAGGCCCTGATGGGGCAGCTGCAGTACCTGCAGGCTCTCTCAGACGTCACCAGGAAGGTTTTGAGATGTGGGTGTCCGGCGCCCAGCGCAGAGCTACCTCTAGCCCCAGGGTGTGTTCCCACCAGCTGGCCAGGGCAGGCAGCTGATAAGCACTAGTTGGACAAGCTTTTCCAGGGGCACTGGAGACCCAGCTCATGTGTTCAAGAAGTCACGTGCTGATGAGAAGGCTGGGGTTCAACTTTGGGCTGAATTTATTCCAGGGAAACACAATGAAAGAGCCTGGCTCTGAGGGGTGGGAGCCATTGCAGAAGCCTGTGCTTCCCTCCACTGACTGCCATGCACTCTGCAGTTAAGCCAGCATTTAGCCATGTGGTGCAAGAGGAGGGTTTGGCCCTATCCAGCTAGAACCCATGAGGCTCCGATCCCAGTTACCCTACTTCTACCTAATGTGCACTGCCCCTGGCTCCTCTGCTCCATCAGTACAGGAAGAATCCCTGGCAGGGGGCTGGGGCTGGGGCTGGGGCTGGGCAAGTCAAGAAGTGCTGTCTTCAGATTTGTAAGGCAATAACAAACCTCATGCTGGGGCCCTATGTAAACCTGAGCCGGTCTGTTATCTCTGTCCCTGCCTGGTTGGGAAGGGAAACAGCTCATTTAGAAAAACAAGTTTTGCAACTAGGATGCCTGAGCTGGGAGTCTCCAGACAGGGATAGAAGACATCTCTCGACCCAGTCAAACACCATTCCAGGACCAACACTGCCACTGGAAATGGATCCCCTCAGTGCCATCGCTCTCTTCCTTGCCATCTGCCTATCCTGCTTTATGCTTTTATCGACATGGTGGCAGATGCAGGGACGCGGCAAGATGCCACCGGGGCCCACGCCCCTCCCACTCATCGGCAACCTGCTGCAGGTCGACACCAGGAATGTGCTCAAGTCATTCTTGAAGGTGCAGGGGCTATGGCTTGGGGGTGGGTTCCAATATTTCCAACCGCGCTCCTCCATAGTGCTTTGGCGTGAGACTGGGGTGGGGGGCGGTTGAGCAGGAGAGATGGGGCAGAGTTTGTGAATGATGTGAAACATGAAGGTGCTTGGAGGTAAAAGCTGTCAAGGGAGAAGGGCTGTGGAGTTTTTCGGGTGGAGAAGGGGGGGGGATAAGAGGCAGGTGGGCTAGGCTGAGGGGGCCCCAGGGGCCGTATGAGGCCAGCTCCTCAGTGTCTGTGTCCTGCAGCTCAGTAAGAAGTATGGCCCAGTCTACACCGTCCACCTGGGCCCACGCCGGGTTGTTGTGCTGTGTGGCTACCAGGCTGTGAAAGAAGCCCTCTTGGACCAGGGCGAGGAGTTTGGAGGCCGTGGGGAGCAGGCCACTTTTGACTGGCTCTTCCAGGGCTACGGTCAGTGGTTTCCACTACAGCGGGGTGGAGGGGGGGACTGCTGGGACCCCAGTTGGGCTATTTCAGCAGGGCTCCACTGCCAGGTGGGAGCTCAGCCTGAGGTGGGGGGAGGAGGGGTGGCGGCGAGCGCTTCCTAGTCGGTGCATTACAGAAACTGGCTAAACCACTCAGGGCAGTGGCAAACTCCTTTGCTTTTTTGTGCAGCTGCCGCTTCCACCATGAATCTAGGGTAGTCCGGTCTGGTGGGCCAGAAAAGTGCCAGTGCTTGGCTCTCCTGGGAGGGGGCTGGGGACCTGCCCGGCTCTTTCCAGCCCTCAGAGCAGGGGTAGCTTGGAGTCCCAGCAGCCTCTCAGTTCCCCTCAATCACTAGATGTCCTCCCCATGTCCCCCTCCCCCCCCAGGTGTGGCCTTCACCAACGGGGAGCGGGCGAGGCAGATGCGCCGCTTCTCCATCATGACCCTGCGCAACTTCGGCGTGGGCAAAAAGACCATTGAGGAGCGGATTCTGGATGAAGCCCAGTACCTACTGGGGGTGCTGCGGGACACCAAAGGTGGGCTGCACTGTCAGATGTGAGCTAACAGGCAGGCAGTGCCCCAGCTGTAGCCAGTGAAGTCAGTGTGGCCACATCCACTGAGGGCACAATTCCAGTTTGGTCCATTGGCTTCAACTCTGGTTTACCCCAGTGTGAAGAGGCCTTTTCAAACCACCTCAGCAGCAGCCCCTAGGACAGGCACTGGCCTTTGGCCAAGTCCCAGCTCTGCCACATCCCTCCACAGAGATCCCTTCTCATCCCATGTCCCAGGCCTGCCCTTTGACCTCACCTACATCCTGAGCTGCACAGTGTCCAACGTCATCAGCTCCATCATCTTCAGGGACCGCTTTGATTACGAGGACAAGGAGTTTCACTCCCTGCTCTACATGATGCTCGAGAGCCTGCGCTTCACCAGCACATCCTGGGGGCAGGTAAAAGTGCTTCATGTGGGTGTCTGGACAGCAGGGGCCAGGACCTGTCCTCATCCCCTTCCTTCAGAGAGAGGTCAAAGGGAGCAGAGCATTGGGACAGAGAGCCTTAAGTGTGCAATGAACTTTTTGGCTTGGAACTACATGACTGATGTGCAGGAGAGTGAGGAGGGAGGGATGGGAATCCCAGAAGCTGGTGGATGGACAGGAAGATTCATACAAGGGATGTTAGCTAGGAAGGTTGGTGGGGAGGGATGGATGGATGGATGGATGGAGAAGAGAGATTTAAACACACACACATGCATGTGGGGAGGAATGGATGGGGAGGCGGAAGGGCTGGATTGTTAGAAATGGATGGACAGCCTGTCCACATGCCCACGAGCCAGGCTGCAGGAGTTTCTGGCTCCTCTTGCAGCTCTACGACATGTTTCCAGGCGTCATGAATTACCTGCCTGGCCCCCAGCATAAGGCCTTGCAGCTGCTGGCAGGGCTGGAAAAGTACGTGGAGAAGAAGGTGAGGGCCAATGAGGAGACCCTGGACCCCAACTCCCCACAGGATTTCATTGACTGCTTCCTCATCAAGATGCACCAGGTGCTGTGAGGTGGAGGGTAAGGAAGGAAG